CGGGGGTGCAGTCAAAAGAAAAGAAGAAGAAGACTAGGAATGGGAAGGGCAGCCATGAAAGGACTAGACAAGGTCCTAAAGTGTAAAGATATATAACTGAGCACTAAAGTCAGAATCATCCAAGCCATTGTATTTCCCATCATCATGTATGAATGTGGACAGTGAAGAAAGCAGATAAAAAGAAAATCAACTCATTTGAGATATGGTCTAGAGAAGAGTGCTGAGTTCACTTTTAAGCAATATAGAAATGTAAATGCTATTGCTATTTGTTCAGGGTCCTATTTGTTTGTCTTTTTGGCTGTCCACAGTGTCCTCAGCACTCTCTAAGCAGTTTACAGTCTGTAAGTCAATTGCCCCCAACAAGCTGGGTACTCATTTCACTGACCTAGGATGGAAGGCTGAGTCGACCTGGAGTCCTGGTATCAAAGTCACAAGCATTTAACCACTGCACCACCAGGGCTCCTTGTATGATCAAGCAGATCAGGCCCGATATCTCCCTGGGAGCAAAAATGATAAAATTTAGGCTGTTTGGCCACATCATGAGAAAGCATGATTCATTAGAAAAGATAATAATGCTAGGAAAGGTAGAGGATAGTAGAAAGAGAGGAAGATCACATGCCAGATGGATAGACTCAATTAGAGAGGTCACAGGCCTGAATCTACAGGACCTAAGCAGAGCAGTGGAGGACTTGGGAGTCTTGGAGATGTCTCATCCACAGGGTCGCCATGAGTAGAGGTTGACTCAAGAGTAGTTAACAATAACAATTCCTTCTTAGATTTTCATTTCCTAAGTAAACACTGTGTAGTAATCTGACTGAAAATGTCCCATTTCTATCCCAAGTACTGCAATATGTATACATTCCATTTCCTGTTTTACAATGTCTAGCTTCCCCTGAATTAGGCTTCTCACATTTCAGCTTTGTTGATTTAAAAATTGCTATGTTTTTAAACTTACTTTTATTATTTTCCTATCAAGAAACCTGTGTGTTCCACCTGAGGTTGGAAACCAAGTAATAACTGTTTCTTATACCTTTCCTAAAACAGTTGGCCAGTATGTATGTCTTTGTCCAATGTATAACCTGAAAATTTGATGACACCTAGGCATGCCCTAATTGTTTTAAGGCTGCTCTTCTTCTTTCACTCCATCTTCACAACTTAAACAGAAAGACAGTCATTTATTTATCTCCTCTCGCAGCATGCTTTTTGTAACATTTCCCCCCCAATAAACTGGAGATTTGGAAAGCTTGTCCCCAGTTTTATATGTATTTGGTTTGTCCTAATAAATTTAGTTCCTAGTGGTGAATTTTGGAACTTTTCTTATAGACCAACACATTTATTTTGCTTTATGAACATTATAGTAGTTATTTTTTGTTATTTGTTTTTATTACATCTATTCAGATTTAGACATCTTTTGTTTCAATTGCCCCATTTTTTCCCAATATAATCCATTCTCTGTTAACAAACTAATTTTACAAACTTCCAGAATCTGTGTGCCATCTAGTGGTTCTTTAGTACGGTTTCTTATCAGGGAAAAGCATAATAGAGTAATTAAATCACTATGGATATACTGCAATTTATTTACAGATGTTTCTAATGCCATTGTAGAAAAAGGACAAATGACTTTATTCTTCTTCCAGGGAGTTTTCTGGGGGAGCTGGTCTACTTTAAATGAAGACATTCATTCTCCAGTTTACAGAGGAAACTACACTGAGAGCCTGTGACAAAGATCTGGAACATTATTGTAATGTATAGTACGGTACTTATAGTTCTGACAAGTATTCAGTGAGCCCCTACTGTAAATATTTAACACATACATACTCTCTTTTGAAATGTCACAACAATCTTGTATTTTATACAGAGAGTTTTGAGAAATCAATAAGAGAACGCATGTTGAGCTGTAAATATGCAGAAACCCTCATCCCAGCACATGTGAACTTGTGTTTCCTGGCGCTGGATATTTTGGGTATTGTGTGATACACTTCATTCTAGACCTGCAAATGCTTCTTTTGTATAAGGCATTTGTACTTCCTGAAATATACAGGAATTTCCATGGAGACAGAAAACAATCTTATAAGCCATTCAGTGGCAGTGGCAGGTGGTTTTTATGCATATAGATGAGTGTTCAAAATGATATTAACACATAACCAGCTGTGCAGACTGCATTCAGTTTTGTGTTGAATCTAAATGCATTCTCACTTAAAGCAATGCAGAGTAAAATAGAAAACATTTCCATTCTGATTCACATTTAAATGTACATCCAATTAATACTTACAATTCCTGATCCAAAGCATGAAATGTATTAATGTTAAATGATATATTATATGGTGGTGCACACATGTTGTTGAAGCTGATGTTTGTACTCATTGCTTGATCATACCTACTTTATATTATTGGTTGGCACTGCCTCTACCTCTCCCCCCGCAAAAAATCTTCATGCAGATTCTTGTGAAACACTGGGGCAAAGCAGACGGCCCGGAAGGAGCAGTCTCTGATCAGTCTGGCCCCGATGAGGCTAGGACCATGGAGACCACATGGCCTGCTCCCGAAGTGGGTTGTTGCCACAGTCCCGTACTGACAGTCAGCAGGAACAAATTAAATCCACTCCTAAAAAGGCGGGCTATTGCTGGCATAGCGCAGCCTCAGCTTGTCTTTCACCCACTTTGGGGGTGTGCATCATCTAAATGCCATGCCCCCAAAGCGTCCAGAAGCCTTTTTATTTGGCCTATCTGTTTTGAGTCCTAGTTCTTTTAATGGTTTGAACTCCATCCCTCCTCACCTAGTGAATTAATTGTAGTATAGACCTGTGCCCTTCCACCAGTAGAATAAAAACTGTTGATGGATTGGATCTCATTCTTTGTAGAGTTTGCATACCTTCTAAAGCTGCTCTGGAAGCATAGGGGACCCTGGGAAGTAGATACAGGGGACTTGCCAGGGAATGGAATTCCATTTCCATAAGGAAGGCTCTTTTTGTAACACTGAGGTGGAACAGATGGGCGAAATAAAGCAGTTTAACACTGATTCTGAGGCTGAGAAAGTTGCTCCCAAATTTTGAGAAAGCTATTGTCCAGGCTGGCTGGGTGTTCTGATAGTCTAAAGGCCTAAGCAGACTGCCAGAAATAGTGCACATTAAAT